TCTAGTATATCGAATAAAATACTCACCTAAAACATATAGTAATCAAAATGCCTACAAATTGATTCTTGGCGATTCCAACCGCTCACACTATATATACGGTACGAACAGAAACTTGCGGTATTTTTTACTCAATATTTATTTTCTATATAAATTTCAAAATTAATTTTTCCGATATTTTAATACCGTATGATCGAAAAAAACGGCGTCCAGTTGGCTTAGAAATGAACATCGATGACATTCCCCATATAATTTTACATATAAAGGAGCGTTCACACCAGCTGCGCAGCTGTGCGCCGCGCCGCTGGTGTGGGGGCTAAAAAAAATACACTTCAAAAGTACATGTTAAAAAAATATTTTGCGCGGCGCGGCTGGTGTGAACGCACCTTAAAATGACAGCGATCTTCATTTCATGGCCAGAGCTGACGCAGTTTTTTTTTCGATAATATGGTAGATATTTGGGCCGAAGACGAATCCAGTAAAACAGAGATCATAAAAAATGATCCAGTCGTTCTTGAGTTATATAATATGGTGTTTCTAACACGACTTTTTTTAATATGAGTAAAGATTCAATAATTTTTTTTATTCGAGTATGATGAATAGACATCATCAAAAGAAATTTGATAAAAATTACAAAACTAAAATGGATTAAATTTAATGGGTTATTAATTAATTGTATTACTAACACACTACAAAAAATATAATACTGCATCTATTTTGTGTTTACAAAATTTATATTTATGTTTGTATATCCCAAATTTGTTTACCGTTCTCGACGCTAGCTCTTGAAAATCATAAATTAAATGCAAAATTTATGTAGTGGGTAATATAAACGTCTGAAAAAATCCGGCGGCTAAAAATTCGAAAATAAATTTTATCTGCCGTTGAAAGCCGAAAACGTTTTCTATAAAAATGTTTCAATAGAGAGACGGTTTTCCGCTCCATGCCGCAATTTTATTTATTTGAAATATGTGCCGTTCTCGACAGCCTGCCCGGCAAAAAGAGGAAAAATAGGAAATACAACGTAGCACCACATTAAATTTAGAGATTTAGTTCTTGTGTTTTATTCTCATCTTTTCTTTCTTATTCTATTATTTAGTAGTGTTTATTCTTTATTTTTGATACGATTATACGGTATAACGTACCGTATGATCGAAAATCTAGATAGTGGCTCAACGAAGTTGAAAGGTCTGTTCCCGGAAGAATCCCTAACTAGTCAGCACGTTTCTCATTAGTTAAAATGCGTAGAAACCTGATTGTTAGACAGGTTTCTAAGCATTTCAACCAATAAGAAACGCGCTGACTAGTCAGGGATTCTTCTGGGAACAGACCTGAAGATGTAAAATTTTAGTAATCTCTATCAAACAGTTTAAACAAAATAAAAGAACCTACGTTGTGGTAGAACTATGTTTTATATTATATCATTATATGGATATATTTTTTTTTAGTTGTTTCTTGGGTCTGGTGGCTATGGTTAGATTAAAACAATAGTTTTTCGACGACATTTCGCATTTATTGTGTCATGCCTCTTCAGGATTTTTTTTTGTCTTTCTTATGTCTTGGAGTGTGTCTTTCTTATGTCTTGTGTCTCTGGAAAGGGACTGAGACTCGCAACAAACGGTATTAAACACTCCAAGACATAAGAAAGACCAAAAAAAAACCCTGAAGTAGCATGACCCAATAAATGCGAAACGTCGTCGAAAAACTATTGTTTTAATCTAACCATAGCCACCAGACCCAAGAAACAACTAAAAAAAAATATATATGTATAAGGCTAAAGAATCACTGTCAATATATGGATATATACTTACCTCCATGGCCATGGCGGGCAATAGCTAAACTAGGAAAATTTTATTAGATTACAAAAAAAACATATTGTAAAAAGTTCGAGAAAGTAAAAAAATGAAACAAGAAAAAACTCTAAATATCCTGAGCATATGATTTGTATCTATAATAAATTTTAAATTCACAAGGGGAGAATCAAAACACGATAAACAAATAGATAAAATAATCTAAATCAACTGAATATTTTTCTACGAAAATTTGCGGAATAAATAAAACAGTGTAGTAAATATAAATATTATTTATTATAGCTACTTTTTAAGTTAAGTTACAGTATATTATATATAATATAAATCACATAGCATATTCTTCACATTTCTCATTTCTTTCAGAAAGAGATAAAAATACATTTATCTTTACATCGATTTCAGACTTCTTGTTCCATCTCATACAATTCAGGGCTTTCCATTAAGGTCATACAAAAAATATGAAATGATATATACTAACAATTTATAGCCGTAAATTAATAATAAATGTATTGTTTTTTTATAGCTATGTAATATGTAGTAATTTTTACATTCTTCTTGAATATTTGTTAAAAATATAAATGAAATTAAATATTTACTTGACTTAAACAAAGACCTTGTAGCATACGATCGAAAAAAACGGCGTCAAAAACGGCTGTGGAATGACAATAGATGATAATTTTGGCGAGGTCAAGTCCTAGACGTCTTGGCCTTGACATCATTACTTGACACTCTTCTTTATTGTTAAATGGTGCTTAGTGCCAGTTGGCCTTAAGAAGGTCGTAATTTATTTTGATATTGAGTAAAAATTACGTTTAGTTTAAAAGCCGTTTATGACGACATTTTTTTTCGATCATATGGTATATATCTTTTCATAGCACATTTTAATAAATATCTGGTCTTTATATAGTACACATCAGTTATTTAAAAACACTTAAAAATTAACTATAATCACAAAAAGATGTTTAAGTAATTGTTAGACAATTATTGTAACAAATTAATTTACGTCTTTTGACAAACTTTTATATTTATATAAAGGACCCGTTTGGTTTCCTCTTTGTTTATGTATTTTTCTGATGTCGAATCGCACAATATAATAACAAAAGGATAACACATATAGTCTTTGTAAATATAAATTTACTAAAACAAGCCACACTTAAATTAAAACAAATACCGCTCATTACAGTTTGTTTATTGTTTATCCAACAGAAATTATCCGCTAATTAAACTTTTTACGCGCTTTTATTAATTTACTTAAATTACAAAATGGGATAATTTAAAGATAATGTAATTATACAAGACAAATACGGCTAAATTACCAGCTAAATCCAACAGCATTGCCCTGGTGTGTACCGTAGAGAAGTAAATATCTACCAAAACAAACAAATATGCATATATTTATTTTAGCATTAAACTCTGTCGCATAATTGCCTGTTGAGTGGTTGTTTACTTTGGTAAATAGATAAATAGTATATTTCTTTTCACCGCAATATCCTTTTCTTTCTATTAAGGTGCGTTTACACGAGTCAACTCCTAACCAAATTAATCAAACGATAAAGTCAGAGTTGATTATGCTTTCAAGTTAGTAGAATTCCTGTGTATCAATGAAGTTTGCAAGTATCAATTCACTTGACTAGTGAAAACGCCTTTAAGTTCTCAATTCATGTATCTAATATAAAATAAGCCTTTACAGGGTGTTCCTTCAATAACTACAAACATTTTCATAGCTGGTCAATCCAGATATACTCAGTATTTTCCATTTTTTCAATAAGCCCAAAAAAACCGAGTTATTTAAATTATGTTTTATTTCAGTGTTTATATTTTGGGGGGCACAGGTTTATATTAATTTCTTTGGTCAAGTAATAACGTTTCAGGTCAACCTAAAAAGTTTTCTAAAATATAAAGAAAAATCTTTATATTTTTTTGAGAACAAAAACCTAAAAACGTGCTTCTTGTTTAGGAATATACTATACTAATTTAAGGAACACCCTGTATTAATAGTAACATTTCAAAAAATATATATACTTATTTACAGAAATTATTTCAAATTGATGTAGTCAACTACTTGGAGCATTGCTATAATAATATACAATGTGGATCTGGAGTATAAGAGAAAGCAATGGCTAGATTGCTTTAAGCGACACTAGGTTATATACAATATGTGCAGAAAAGCAAAAAAAATCTAAAATAATATATAACAAAAATTAAATAACAAATTAAATAAATACAATACGAAGTGTAGAAATAATACACTCTTAAAAATTGTTTATTATATCAAACATTTGTAACAGAGACAAACATTAATGAACAAAACAAATGTACCCAAGATATACAAACCAGCTGTAAACAGAAAAATGGCAGGTTGCTTCTTATTTACTAAAAAAGTTAATTAACAAAGATTGCATATGATTAATATACAGTAAATATAAGAGTTGGTTTGGTTTGGCAACATGGTCAACATGGCTCCTACTTGTAAGGGCACCATCAACATATTTTTAACTGGTTTGGTTTGGTTTACACCTGATTAACAACATTTCGCCTATACCTGTATAAAACTACTGAGGAAAAACTCTGGAAACTGACTGAACTGGAAAATACTTATGATTTCAGTCCAATAACTATCTAGTCAAGATGTTCAGTTTTTATTAATACAGGGTGTCCCAGAAATAAGTGCAAGTATTTCAACTGGGAGTATAGTTCAACCCCAGAAACACGCCTATGAGGTTTTTTCGCGAAAAAAAAAATTCGGAATTTTTTGGAAAAAAAAATTGGATTTTTTTTTAGTTTTTAGTTAGGAAACATAATTTCTTGATAATATGGCAACATTTACAAAAAAGAAAATCCAGAAAAGGTCCAATGGTTCTCAAAATTTTAGCAAAAAATATATTTTTTTTAATTTTCAAAGTAAATTAACTCCGTTATTTTGGACTTATTTGAAAAACGATAAAGAGAAAATATGTTTCTTTTATCGAGATCTGTTACCCCTTAAAATACTTGCACTTATTTCTGGGACATCCTGTATAATTACATGAACTGATTATTTCTATTCCAAATATCTCGAGAACCATTAGTCGTAGCTATTTTTGCCAAGAGACTTTTTTTTCGTAAAAAAACGTCAGAAATGTATATGTTTTACTCTGTAATTTAATACAGGTACGGACAAAAATTTACTACTCTTCAAACCAGTTAAAAAAATATGTAGGAGGCGTCTTCTACAAGTAGGAGTCATATTAGACAACCAAATCAATATCAAATATCCACAAATATCTGCGTTATTTCATGAACTTCATTATTCAATTTTTTTATCTGTAGAATATGCTGTCCCAAAGTTTCTCAAAAAACTAAATTTTATTAGCGGTTAATAAAGAACGTTTAAGAGTGTACTATAATTTTCCTTCTGTCCCATATGGTATATAAAAAAATATAACTAAAAATGTTGAATTATAATTTAATATATAATAAAAAAGTTTAAAAATGAAAAAAGCCCTACAAAAATTTAACATGCATGTGCTGCATTTTTCAACTCAAAATATCCGGCATACAAAAATATAAAACTTTCGAATAAAAATTGGACCCATTGACGACATCTGACACAATACGATTTAAAAAAGTATATTTTTGTTTACAATTCTGCTATTTATTTATATTTAAAAAATTATACAGACAATACTGTTTCAGTAAATAAAATTTAAAATGAAACTTTTAAAACATAACTATATGTAAGTTTTATAAAACTTTAGTTTATATTTAGAGTATACTTAAGATTAAAACTCCAAAAACTAGAGCGAGTGGAGTACTTGTAACCAGAGATACTTTGTTTAGACTTTTTATACCAAAAAAGTTCTCTACAGGACTTGGTTCTGTAATAAATAAAAAAAAGAATGTCATATAAGCCTTATCTACCTTGTAATAAAAACAAAAGACTTACCATTTGACCCAAAATGATGGCCAAGGTCCATAAATGCATTTTCTGAAAAAAAAACAGGAATATAAATAAAAAGTATTTATCTCTTCCTCTGTATTTTTTCTTCGAAACTACTATTCAGGGTGGCGCACCTCATTCGCCTCGGTTGATTATACGAAAACGGAAAGATGTAGAAGCAAAATATTTTATGAGTATATGTGGTGTGGCAATGTGCACAATTTAAAATTATTTTGAAATATACAGGATGTTTCAAAACTAAGATATATACCAAAGATATATTTTTTTCTTATGGAACACCCGGTATTTTATTTTATTTTTAGATTCTTGGGCATAAAATAAGACATTTATTACAAGGGTTTGATATGTTTAAATACTTTGGTTTTTGAGATATTTAAAGATATTTTTACATTACATTAAACATCATTTATTTTAACTTAATTAATTTTTGTCACTAACCTCTGCTAGTTGTTTGAAAGGTAAAGGATTTCGACACAGGACTCCATCCAAACTTATTCCTGGCCTGTACCTTGGCCTCGTATTGTTGTCCAGGCTCCAGACCCCTGATGACGTAGCTCATCGACTGCACCCCAATGGTGGATGATTGAGAGGCCGGCAGAATGACATTGCTCCATTCAGAATGACCCTTAGTGGACCGAGTGTAGCCGTAGCCTACGCTGTAACCCACCGCGGAGTACGTACGGTTCTCCTTAAAATAAAAATAAAAATAAATAGTAATGAAGCTGTAAAAGATCATTGAAATGTTAGTATTTTAGTATCAAGTTTAATGAAAGTAGAACTGTATCTCTATATATGTATGTTTCTGCTTCCTAGGCCTTTTTCACGAGTTCCTTAAAACTAACCGTCTCACTACACTGTTACGATATATATTTGCTATGGGGGTTTAAAGAATTTACAAAAGGGGTATTAAAAAATGAGTTTAAAAATCCTCGTTAGTCGTTTACATTATTGTCGTTTTTAAAAAATTTAAATATTGCTAACTATTTGAGGTAACTTAAGCGTCTGCCTTTTGTTTCTCTATGCAGTAATTTGATTGAGTTTTCATTATTTTTTTATTTGTTTTTTATATTAGTTAGAGTTATATTTTTGATATTTTGAGCCCTATTTTTAGCAATTTTTTAGCAAGCCTTATATAATTATATCAACTTTAATTCGTAAACTCACTTTTTTATAAACTTTAGTATTTGGCATATAATACAGGGTTAATCGAGGTGTTGCTTTTTTACCTCAATTTTAAAACACCCTGTGCAATAACTTCGTATGTAAGTTTTCCTAAAAATATAATTTTACGGTCAGAACCATGTCTCATGAGCATTTTGTTCTTTGGATCATTGCAACACATGCCTTGGTTAATGTTTAAGAGCGAAATCAACTTGCCATCAACAATTAATTATTATTAAAATAATAATATTTCTTCAAATATCATTGCTTTTTTGAAGTTATTTTTTAATGTGACAAGGGAGCTTTGGTGATTATTGTGAACTATATACTACTATGAACTACCCATCATATTCGACATTTGGCAAATGCTTGGCAGGAGGGTTTGAGGTCGCGAAGTAGTACGAGCTTCATTAAATGAACTTCGCTTGGTCCTTAAAGAAGAATAAGAAAACATAAAGCAATATGATATATGCAGCTTCAATGACAGTATGAACGGACGTATACAGGTAGTTATAGCATCAAAAAGAAGAAATACAAAGTATTAGGGTATTATTTACATTTTTTTTCTGTTTGCATACTTGAGTATTACAAATGTTTTCTTTAATATCGTTAGTTCTGTTATTGTTATGACTGTTTATTAAAACCAGGACTGTATCGTTAATCGTTAGTCTTTAAAGTTTTTTTTTTTAATTTAGTATAGAGTATCCAATGCAGCGTACTATGACGTTACGACAATAGTCACCAAAACCATCTCGTCATATAAAAAAATTACATCAAGAAGTAATGATAATTGAAAAAATTGCACATTTGATCAGTTCATTTCGCTCTTAAAAATTAACCAAAGCATGTATTAACATGAATAAAAAAAATGCTCAGGAGTCGTGGTTCTGGCCGTAAATTATTAGCTTTAGTTAGCAACCTAACCTAATCGTCTTAGATACTGGATTTTGTCAAAGCCCTGAGACTGTATGATGAGTTATAACTCAAGAAACAATAAAAGTAAATCCAATAAAAATAAAAAAGAGTTCAGCACCTAGTGTTATTATAAGCAATTCTTTATCTTAACAGCCTTAATAGCAATGTATAATTAGTAGGGTTTATTACAAGAGCATTAAAAGCATTCAGTATAACCGGTTAGATTTATTTGCAACCATAAAAAGTGTTTTTATAGTCATGGACGTACAGGGCAAATAAATATTATTTTATGGGCATTTGACGCCTGAAACATTCGATATATATTTTAGTGCTATTTTACTGCCATTTTAGTCTACTTGCGATCGCGATAATCTCTATTTCAGGTTCGATAATATTGTTTATTTGTAGTTATTTATATCTCTTTTTTATATCTATTAGTAAATATTTATTGTCCGCATAATAATAATGGTTGGCTTTAAAATCACCAAGTTGTTAACATTATCTACCAGTTGTTTTTAAAAGGTGTCTCACAGCCATAGCACTCTAGATCGAAAAAATTTAAAATCCTGTTTTTTCAGCAAAAATGTCAAGGAATGACATATGATGTAATTCTATTAAAAACTAGTGATGGGATCACTCGAGCGAAAATTCGCTCGAGTACTCCATTATTCAAATAACCGACATTGCTCGATTATGAACGAGCGATGCAAGTGACGAGTACCAAGCGACGAACGCAAGCGATCCTAGAATGAAATAAATTGAAATCTGATTTTAATGTGACTAATCAGGCGATCAAGCGAATCGCTCGCCGCTTACTACTTGCCGTTCATTACCGAAAGAATATGTGCCCTGCGCACGCAGCTTACTGCTTGGCGCTTGGCGTTAACGAGCGATATTTCGCTCGAGTGATCACTCGGTTATTGCAATCGCTTGATACTCGAGTACTCGATTATTGAAATTAATCGGTTTTTCCCATCACTATTCAAAACGTCATTCTCTAACCAAATAAAGTAAAAAATTTCAAGGGTACCATTAGAAATCAAAATCAATTTATTTGTAGTAATTTCCGGTGAAACAGTAAGTGATTGAAACTAATTGAATACGTCAATCAATCCTGATTGATATCATACACTAAAACACTAAATCTCGCTTTTTTATCTGAAAAAAAAATAAAAAAGTTACAGGGATGAGCTACTTTTAAAAAACACCCGGTGTTTCAGAGAGAATAATATCCATAGAAGAAAGTAGCCAAAACATACAAAGCAGAAACACATGGCTAAAAGCAATCTTATTTTATTCTTAAGGATAGAACTTCCCTTCGCATAATCACACTTATATCATAAATCACTATTATCTACCTTTTGTCCGAATTTCTTCTGACCCTGATGATGAAGAGGTAAAGGTAGTCCATCTTCAGTGTACGACGTAGACCACCCGTCTGGTATTCTTCGAAACAGCAGTTGATATTCTTCAATAGGACTGAGAGATTCTACTTCCCAACTTATATTGTACCTCTCCCTGTAATGTCCCATCGTGGAGCTTTTGAAGATAGCAGCTTTTGGCTTACCTGGAATAAAATTTTATATATTTTATACAGTTCAAAATACTTCAGAATCTGTATAGTCAATATACAAGGTATTTCAAAAAACATGTGCCATTTTTCGTGGGGAGATTCTTCACGTAAAAATAAGATTTATTTTTCAAATCAACATGGGTCCGATTCTGCTTTGTTTTGTAGCTACAGGGTGTTAAAGTTTTAATATTTTTTTGAATTATTATAACTTTCTGCCAAGTACTTTTAGCGTTTCGAATGAAATTTTGAGGGTAAAAGTTACTATAAATGCGACATATTTTAAAGCTAAAAAAGAGTTGACATATTTACCATGGACGTGCATATGGGTTATCACTGGAATATTTTTTTCTATAAAAAGCATGTACGCTTACAACGGCCCCTTTTTATGTACGCCACTGACTTTTTTTTCTCTTGGCACATGTTTTTTGAAACACACAGTATATAATTTTATCCAAAACATTCAATTTTAAAATCAAGACTTAAAAACTTAGATTCAACAAATCAAGACAGATTCAACAACTGTTTCAATGAAAACATTCCAAACAGAGACAAAACAATTCCAAAAAAAAGAATCACTAAAAAAAGTTCACATCAAAGCAATCAAAACTCATTCGTACAACTTTAGATCAATTGAATAGTCAGTAACAAGGTATGTTCTTACTTTTTCAAATCAAGAAGACAGAAAATATCAGCTTTATTTCGCTTTGCCAGAGCTAAATTACGTAAAGGTCTCAGAGCCGGGCTAAATCACTTAGTCCCAGCGCTTCTAGATGTTAAGTACGACTATTTGTTTTGGAATTAGGTGCATCTCGGACAAATAGCGGCTGATTAGTAACTGGTTACTTATTTGTTTTGAGGCGAAGGCGTGGAAGAAGTACGCCAGCAACTAAGAAGCTTGCAACGAGGCAATAAAAGGAGAAGTTTGTCTAGCGGAATTCTAACGATTAAACCACAGATATCTCAAGACACGACAAATTACATCAGTTAACGTTTTCTAGTTAGAAGCATTGCACTTTCTGTTTGTTAATTCGATTTGAATAGTTTGTTTTCAGGGTTCCGTACCCTAAAAGAAAAAAAAACTTTGAATAAAAATATTAAGTAAGGAGTATAATCACAGGTATAATGCTATCCATGTATTCAGGCATGGTCGACGGAAAGAGGACTCTAGGGTGGGGATACTTGACAGTTCTGTTTGACGATTCATATAACACATTTGAATTTGATTTGAAGTTTTGTGGATTTGTCAGTCCTTACTGAGCTTATTTTATGTTATTTATTATTTATTCTACCACTGATAGTTGCTTAAAGGTAGTAAATCTAGAAGGAAGTTGTAGAAGAACTTAAATTAACAGTGACACTATTGCGATTTAACGAAAAAGACTGTAAAATAGTTGGTTGTGTAGCGTGCGGTAGATCTCGGTCAAAAATTGAGGGAAATAATGAAATAACTTTTCGCTAGTATGTGACTATATAATATAAATACGTGTAGTAAACCGATCATTTATGAAATTCACTTAAAATAACTAATTATATATTTTTTCTTGCATTTTTGCTTTTATTTACTACTCGTCAAAGATTAGATTATTATAACTTATCTATTTTTATTAGAATTGTATATTTTTATAACAATTTTAATAACTACCAACATTTTTATTGTAACGTAAATTAAAACAACAAATTATTGAGTCTACCTCATGTCTGCCCTACATCATATTTTTACACGTTTTGAATAGAATTAGAACGGCACTGATAAACCGGAATTTACGTCGGCCATTTTAGAGTCCCGTCGCCGTCGATCTCAGATTTTTGTTATGCTCTTTCCTTAATATTTTTATTCAAAGGAAAAAACGAAACTTTTATAGTAAAATATTATATCATGTAAATGAATAGACCATACCTTTTTTGATTCACGTCAAATGTAGAAAACCCATATCTAGATTTTTGTATCGTCTATAATCAAAATTAAAAAACACCCAAAGATATCTACACTCATTAAATTTAAAATGTTTTTCGTGTGTCTTTTTTCCTGTTCACTAACCGAACAATAGCGACTTTAATTCTATTAGAAAAGACGGAGAGTTTCCCGGAAAATCTCTCGTCTGTGGAAAGGTCGAACATTGCCGACAATTTCATTTGAAGTTAGACGCGAGCCAGTTCCAATAGTTAGCCATAAATCTTGCCGATTAATTGGATGCTTTTTCTCTCGTTTTACTTTGTTAAATGTCAAAGATAATAAGAGTTTTATGATTCTTATGAGAAAAAGAACTAATAATTATAATGCAAAATTTGTAATCTCCTAACGGTCTAAGACACTCGAAGAAATTTTCCATAACTTACGACCAAGAAAAATCAAAGATTTTCCTAGAAGAACAAACTTCGCATTGTCATAAAATTTTTAACAGGACACTGTCTCCTCAATAAAGAACTCAGTAGATGAACCTAAGAAACAACGGCGAATGCAGATTCTGTAAGGAAAATCGGGAAACACCAGAGACACCAAAAACGGTTAATGTTAGGTATACACTGTTTAATATCAAAATTCATAAAATTTTACAGATAATTTAATTACATAATAAAAAATGGGGTACACGTTTAAAATAAGAAAGTTGCTGTCAACTTCCGGTATTTCCGGAAGGGCCGCCATATTGAAAATATTTTTAATCGATAGATCACGTTGGAAAACATATGATGTGCATAAAATCTTTGATATTGTAGTTCTCTAGAAACTTCTAATACACGCTCAGCCTGGGACACCCTGTATAAGGTCGCTGTGATTAACTTACACTCTCCCATATAATCTACAATCTATCTTCTAACTAAATAATATTTAGGCACTTTAATCCTATTAAGCAACAACTAAATTTCTCCGAAAAATTTCCTCTATCCGGCTATTTTATTTTATTTCAACCGAACCCGCTGCTTCCATCGTTTGCTATAAATCTTACCGGTTAATTGGATGCTTTTCCTAGTTTTTCCGAGCTGATTGTCCGCGACGCAAGTGTAATTTCCGAAATCCGTCCTGTGCACTTTACGGATAACGAGCGTGTGTCTAGACCCTCTGGACTCCATTATCCGGGTCTCCGTAGTGTCCAGTTGCATCGTATCCCTGTACCATAAAACCTGGAAGAAAATAAAATATATACAGTGTGAAGAATTAACTTTGAAAAGTGCAGTAACACCTTAAATACAAAAAAAAATATTCTGCAATCAAATTCTGCATCTTTGAAATATAATATACAGTATGTTCCCGTATGATTAGATTTACAAGAGATTTTATTACATTTAATTCAATTCTACAGAATGGGTGATAATAGATATCGGAAAATGTGATACTTTAACAACAACAAAATAGATATATAATCAAAAATAATAATAACCATCTATCGAAATTATATTGCCATAGAATCGCTTTTTGATTTTTAGGTCTTAACAAGGAAATCAAGAACAAAAATTCAACAATATTTTCATGTTCGTTTTTAATTTTCTCTAAACCGGCATGGAAATTTGGAAAATTATAAACAGTTAACAATTTTAGAACAAGCAAAATTTTTTATGAAGAATGCATTTTTCTCAACTGTCACTCATGAAAGAAATTACATTAGGAATGTAGCTGAATGTAATGGATATGCTTCTTCATCAGTGGATAAAATAATTAGAAAACGTAGGTATAAGTTTGCGATTGCTGAAAATTCGACTTTTCAAGTGGACAAAGATACGTCAAAGTATTTTTCAATGCCATTTGATACAGAGTGATCCCGCGGTTTAAAAATAATTTTTAAGACTGTCAATTATAAACTTGTGTATAGTGCTAATAATAAATTACAACAATATAGCTCAGATATGATATGGTAGACCGGATAAATCTTGCGTTGCTGAACATATTGTTGATGAGGAACATTGTATAGATATTAATAATTTAAAATTAGTTAAACAAGTCTCAAATTACAAGCAATTCAAATTTCTAGTTATTTTTTGTAAACACTTCTGTGTTAATCCCAAACGGAAACTACTTGTCAGAAGTTAGGTTTACATACAGGGTGTCCCACTTAGATAGATACAAGCCAATATCTTGGTTGTTTGTTGAGCGATCTTTTTTATTTTTGGCAGGAGGCTGTATGGCTATAAGACGTACATTTTGCCCAGGGTAAGAAATGCGATACCTCATAGACGTACGTTTTAATGGGGTTTGATATTTTTCGAGTCAAGAATAAACTACCCTTAGGACAGTATTCATTTAAAATCTGATAAATTATATTGAACCCTCCTTACCTAAGATACTTAAGTTCTAATTTTTATAAATATTGATACAGGGCGTGTCATCAAAATAAGACATTTTTATTTTTATTATTATTTTTTTAAGTACTTCCGACGCCACTGGATAAACAACTGGTTTATTATAAATAATCAATTATACCCAATTATCAATTAATAATCGATTTAAGTTTGGTCGAAGATGGTCGAAGAGGTTGACTTTTAGTTCGTTATAGTTTTATAAATCTTTGTTTACAGCATATTTTTCAAAGTTAATAGTGATTGTTTTAAATAACTATTTGGATTTTTTAAAATATTCCTCAATAAAACGAATAAAAATTATATTTCAGATTCCATTGAAAACTGGGTTTTTAAATTATTGTAACTCATTTTATTCATTTGTATTAGCAAACTTATTTTTTTTTTAAAGTAAACAAAATAAATTGAAAATATTTAGTTTTTTTGTATCGTATCCTAATTATTATGGAAGTTATCTGAAAACTTAAATCGATTATTATTGATAATTGGTTATTGATAATAAACCAGTTGTTTATCCAGTGGCGTCGTAAGTACATAAAAAATAATAATAAAAATAAAAATGTCTTATTTTAATAACACACCCTGTATCAATATAAAATATAAAAATTAGAACTTAAGTATCTTAGGTAAGGAGGATTTATTATGATTTATCAGATTTTAAATAAATAGTGTCCTAAGGGTAGTTTACTCTTGACTCGAAAAATATCAAACCCCATTAAAACGTACCTCTATGAGGTATCGCATTTCATACCCTGCGCAAAATGTACGTCTTATAGCCATACAGCGTCCTGCCAAAAATGAAAAAGATCGCTCAACAAACAACCAAGATATTGGCTTGTAGCCATCTTAAGTGGGACACCCTGTACATACAAATTTGCCTAACGAACAAAAAAATGCTTAACGTTTTGGAAAGTTTATCTCTTTCCGTCGTCGGAAGCAAAAAAATAACGTTCCTACTACTCTCTAATCTCAACGTCAAACGGAAAAGATTGACGTTCAAGAACGGGTTTTGTAGACGTATCTGTTTTAAAAAACTAAAGTGTTCTCGAATAGTTGAATTTAGATATTTAAAATAGTTTTTTTTTCTTTATTCTTTGTATTTTTTGCTTCCGACGACGGAAAGAGATAAACTTTCCGAAACGTTAAGCATTATTTTGTTCGTTAGGCAAATTTGTATATCTGTAAACCTAACTTTAACTGACAAGTAGTTTCCGTTTGGGATAAACGCAGAAGTGTTTACAAAAATAACTATTTTATTTTCTATATTTTCTTGCAGTGGCGAAATACCCATATAGGATTTTTTGGAGAAATATTTTTTTTATTATTTTTGTCCAGTGGTAAAATCCCCATTTTTTTCAACAAACAATAATTTAATTTTAATTATTGAAACACGATAGTAGTTTAAATCGTAGATATCACCTAGTTCTTTATATTTCAAGAGGATCTTCTATTATCGTTATATACCCTCCAAAGCTTCTTTAAAGCTATAGCAAAAATAACTGTATATAGCTACTCGAAAAGTTACAATGTACTAAAGCAGTTTATCTAATCGAAGCCGAAAACTAAAGACAGTCGTTGAGAGACAACACGGTCTCGCAACGACGATTTTTAATAAAATATTAAACCGCTTGCTCCACCTCGAGATAAAGGAATTTTCGTACGTGAAGAAATGCCTTTCTTTCGACTTTCCTACGGGAAAATTATTATTTTCCGAAAAACTTTTTCAACGATAAATATATCTTTCGCACGTGTAAACATGTCTTTTTGTCTGCTTTCCTATAGAAGAATTATTATTTTCTGTAATTCGTTATAAATACAAGCAATAAAAATGTTTTTTCATAATTTTTTAATGCATGATTCACCACTAGTTTCTTTAAATACTTATAGCAAATTTACTCAAAAATTAATCCACTACACGGCAACAACTTTTATTAATTAAAATACTTTATTCTTAAGTGCACAGCTTGAATTTACTTAGTAGATATAGTAGATTGGCCTTTTATAATTATGGTGCGGTGCGAGCGCCAAGCCATTATAATTATTGTAGAAATAAAAATGTCTAATATATGGATACGGTCACTATAAATTATGATAGGCAATTGATTAGATAACAATTTATAATATTGATGAATAGATGCGTTCACAGACACTTACTAAAATATCTGTTTTTTTTTTTTCATTTTATGTTTTTGGTAGACTCTTTTTTGACTAGAGTTTATCTTCCTTTTATTTTTCTTCTCTTTTCCTTAAAATCAAGACTTCACTAAAAAAAGTTGAAACCAGAACAATTAAAACTCATTTGTGTCTTCCTGTCAATAATCAATTACCAAGTTAAATATAGTTCATATCAAATAAAATCTTAGTCACGTGATTAAGCTTGGCCGACACAGCTTTGCCCACTTTTATATATTTTTTTTAAATCACAATATTTTAGGAAACAAAAATAAATTAATTATAAATAAAACAGGGTTGTTCACCACATACGACACGGAGTATTGTAGCTAAACGATTAGATTTTTACAAATTGTAAGTATTGGGTTCGTTGAAGGACTATTAGAGCTACAATTTAAAAATATTTTTACAAGATACAGGTGTCCCAAATAAATAAAAATATCAAAGTTTTATTTTTTTAAATGGAACACCCTATATATTATAACATTTTTAGTTTCTACGATTAAAATAAAGGTAAATTTGATTAAGGTTTATTACACTTAAACCTTACCGTTTTTGAAATATTTTCAATTTTGTGAAATTACAGTAAAAATCTTCAGGCTTCATTTCTCCAAGGGTATCAAAGTTTTTAATACCAAATATTTACTAAAATTTATTTATTAATTAGTTATTGTGTTGCAATAATAAAAATAATACTACCTCATACAGATTGTCTAAAAATTTATTTTAAATAATTTCTAGCTTTAAACGGCAATAACTTGTTTAATTTAAATGGAACGCCCTGTATATTTTAAAAGAATCAGATGCAAAATTTAATTGTCTATTAAATTATATTACACCACTTTTTACCTATCCCTTCAAGTTTTCGTAGAAAATCCATTTTCTTATAATTTAGACCTCATTTATCAATATACCCATGGAATATGTATTGGCATTTTAGATTGTTTTTAAAGCAACAAATGTACAAAATGTACAGTCTAGTAATATTATCGTTTTTAGCAAAACGATAATATTACTAGCCCATTTGTATGCAAAAAGAAAGGTATTTAAATCTTTATAAAAGAGTATACCATTAATTAAATATACCACCATTATTTCCGCCCAAATACTAATTAATTACATATTTAATTGTTTTAATTAATACATTATTCTAAATAAATGTGTATTTGACTCAGAAATCAATACCATAATAAGTTACGAAAATGAACGTCTCTGTTATAAATAAGAATTCGTCAAAAAATGAAATAAAATGTTTAAGTTGTTACATTTTACCACACTGTCTAATACACATACAAAATTTAGTTTTTTCATATTTGGAGCAACTATTATTAATCAACGCAAACAGTCAATTAATGTAGTTTGAATACTGGAATCATATTAATTTTATTGGTCCTCTTTAACAAATATTTAACCGTTTTTTAATGAAATAAACGAACTATAAACTATATTGTAGTATCTGTCTTCTTTAAAAATTTGGTACATATTTAAAAATAATTTAAAATGTCACTAGTCCATGGGTATATTGATAAATGAGTTCTAAATTACAAGAAAATGCATTTTCTACGGAAACTTGAAGGGATAGGTAAAAAGTGGTATAATACAATTTGATACACAATTAAATTGTGCATCTGATTCTCATAAAATATATAGGGCGTTCT